ATAAAAGAAATGAAAATGAAGGAGAAAAATTAAAATACGTAATACCTTGAAACTGCTGACAAAACAGAAATATATATATATGTATATATGTATATATATATATATATATATATATATATATATATAAAATTTATTTGATTGTTTCAATTGTTTTTCTTTTAATTTTTTTTCTTTTTTATTTTTTTAATTTTTCGATATTGTGCGTTGAGAAAAAAAGAAAACATGTTTTCTTGATAATTTTATTTGAATATAAAATCTTCGTATCTTTTTTGAATTTCTAACTTTAATTTTGATGAGGTGATCTCTTCTTACAGAATTAATAAATATCAGCAGTTTCAGGATTGATCAAATTTGGAAAAGAAAAAAAAGTAATGGAAAGAACATAAAATAATAGAACAGAAAAAAAAAAAATAGGAAAAAGAAAATAATAAAAGAAAGTTACGTTAACTTAACCTAAGCTTATGACTAAACAGCTGTTACGACTTTTGTGGAGAGAGCTTCTGAGTTTTTACTATTATTAATTACTTCTAAATTATTTAATATTATTAAATTAATTATATAAAATATAAATCAAATATGTTGGATATTGATACAAAATTAAAAATATAAAACTTGATAATATAAATAAAATCTAACGAGACTATTATTTGAATAAACCTAATAAACTATCTGTTCGTCATTGAAGTTTTTAAATTAAATATTTATTTATTTCTATTTTTTTTTTTTTTTTTTTTTCTTTTAAAGAATCGTCTTAATTATATTCAATTTATTCGTGTATAACGAATTTTCGTTAAATATCAATAACATCGGCATAATTTAAATTAAAAATGCATAATATTGATTTAAAATGATCAATGTTCTTTTTTAACAACTTATTACAATATATTATTATAAATATTATATCGTTGATTATATTATGTATTATTACGTTCAATGATATCGAATAAATGATGTCGAACAGATAGTATAAAATTAAATAAAAAATAATAAAAGAAATAAACTTACTTTTTCGTTTTTTCTTTTTTTTTTTTTCTTTTTGGTGAATATGTCCCACGATGCTCGATCAATCTCGACAAAATTGAGATCCCACGATGAATGAAGAATAATTCCCTCGTATTTTTGCTTCTAATATCTTAGTGTAACTAAAAATCTTTGGAAGTTTCTTGATTCTTCATGTTGTTTTGGCTTAAGCATTTGTTTATATTATCATTATTTTGGCTCTCTCGAAATGACCAAGTCCATAAGCATAATTAAATAGATTAATTTTATTTATTTATCTCTATCGAGTTTTATTCTTTAAATTATAAGAAATTTGTTTTGATCTCAGAGTTATACTTTTGTTCTTCTTTCGTTTTCTTTTCTTCTTTTTCCTTTTTTTGTTCTTTTTTTTGTTCTTTTTTTTTTTGTTTCTTAATTTCTTCCATCTTATTCTTCGAAGTAATGTGCACGAGAAAGAAAAATGAAAAATATCTGTTTTAATATATTCCATACGAGTAGAAAGATTGGATTGAACTTTTGAAATTGATGAGATCATCGTTGTATGATTCGAACAATATCAAAATGGATAATTTCGTCGATCTTTTGATGTTTTCAGCAGTGCTCATTCTATATTTTAGAATTTTCATTAACTTTTGGAATATAACAAATGAATTTTATTTCAAAAGTTTAAACAAGTAAGTTTATCCTCAATAAATATATATATATATATTTAATATCTTTTTGGATTTTTCGAGTTTGATTTTGAATTATTGTTAACGCTTTAAAATGTAAGACACATAATCGTAATCTTTGTTATTGTTACTATTACTTTCACATCATCCTGTTTGATCAGACGTTATTGATATTCTTTTTTTGCTTTCTTTCTTTTTTTTTTTTTTTGATGAAATTCATGAAGTAAGATGATGCTCTTTTAGATTTTTAATGATTTGTCTGTTCTGTTTAGTCTCAATGTAAATAGTAACGATTGGTCGTTTTATTTTTGATATCAAATAAAAAACATTTCTATCGTAATAAAATGTATTTAAATGTGTTGATGTCGCTGCAATATCAATTATTTCTTTTGAATTAGCTTTTGATGATATTATTCATTGAATTTTCTTCTTCGAACAAATTCTAATTTCTTATGGTCTCTGTGAATGAAACATTAATTTATATTATACATATGTGTATATATATATATATATTATGTGCATATATATATATATAGAATGAGAGAGAGAGACGAATGAAAAATCTTGATAATAAGCTTTGACTCTTTCTATCGAAATCGACGTTTCGAAGGAGAGACTAAATTTCATTTTCTTCTGATTTGTTAATTGAAAATTAACATTAATGATCCTTTCAAATAATTCTTATTATAAAATGATTCGTGATATCGAGCTTTGTACGATTTGATGAATTTCTTTGTGTCTTTTGGAAATATCTTTAATAATTGTATGCGTTTGAAAATGAAAAAATAAAAAAAAGATATAAGAAGGAGTCCGGATATAGATCGTTTGATGAGGTCAGAACATTTCTATTCATTATTCTTATTTTCAGTATGAAGCTGACGTTCGACGTGTCGATTCATTTCCAGTGTTGAACGTAGCGATGAAAAATTGACATAAACATGTGAATAATTCGAGATTAAAAACAGAGATGTGAACTTTTGATATATTTTATACGAGGACGAAGAAAAATTCGTGACTTGTTGTTGATTTTTCTTGTTTTTTTCTTGTTTTTTTTTTCTTCTTTATCTCGTCCGATTTTCTCTTTTCTTTTTCTTTTGTTTTTTTTTCTTTTAATAACGAAAAAGCATAAATTTCATTGTCTTTTCTGTAAATTAAAGTTGTAAAATATCTAACGAAATCTATTGTGTGAGTACTCTGCTTCTTGAAATTGCTTTGTTTGTTTGTTTTATTTATTTATTTATTTTTCTTTTTTTTTTTTTTGACCGATTAAATAAATTAAACTTTCTGTGTGTAAAGATCATTCATTGTTTTTGATGATTCTGACTTGGATCATCAAACACGATCGATTGATTATTTCTTTTATGAGTCACTGCTGTGAAATATTTTGATTGATATTTTCGTTTAATTGATAATAAACAAATGATGTACCTAAAATGATTTTAATTGAATTGTTTTTATTGTTGTCGAGGTACGAGAATGTCTTATTACGTGATATATGTGATATTTTTGATTCACGTACAATGATTCTTTTTTCATTCTTTGTCCTGGTCATTGAAGAATATTTTTAATGAATTTAACGAAGAATTAGGATCTGTAAAGAGTCCCATTTCTTTTTCTGTATATTTGTTTCTTTTTATTTTTTGTTTGTTTGCTTTTTTTCTTTTTCTTCTTCTCTTTTTTTTTTTTTCTTTCGCTTTTACGAGTGCAGCATTGAATTTCATTCAGCATTTTTAACTATCACTTCCTTTTTTGACGTAGATATTTTTAGAAATATTTTTGTCTACCTTCTTTATGATTTCTTTATGATTTTTATAGATATTTCAATTGATATTTACATATTTTCGTTTGTCTTCTTTACGATTCCTTTTTTTACAGATATTTCAATTGATATTCAGATGTTTTCATCTATCTTCTTTATGATTTTTCTTTTTGTAGATACTTCAATTGATATTTTTAGATATTTTCGTTTGTCTTCTTTACAATTCCTTTTTTTACAGATATTTCAATTGATATTTAAATGTTTTCATCTATCTTCTTTATGATTTTTCTTTTTGTAGATACTTCAATTGATATTTTTAGATATTTTCGTTTGTCTTCTTTACAATTCCTTTTTTTACAGATATTTCAATTGATATTTAGATGTTTTCATCTATCTTCTTTATGATTTTTCTTTTTGTAGATACTTCAATTGATATTTTTAGATATTTTCGTTCGTCTACTTTGCGATTTCTTTTTTTGCTGATATTTCAATTGATATTTAGATATTTTCGTTTGTCTTCTTTACGGTTCCTTTTTTGCTGATATTTCAATTGATATTTAGATATTTTCGTTCGTTCACTTTGCGATTTCTTTTTTTGCTGATATTTCAATTGATATTTAGATATTTTCGTTCGTCTTCTTTGCGATTTCTTTTTTTGCTAATATTTCAATTGATATTTAGATATTTTCGTTCCTCTTCTTTATGATTTTCTTTTTGCAGATACTTCAATTGACATTCAGATATTTTCGTTTGTCTTCTTTGCAATTTCTTTTTTTTTTTGCTAATATTTCATTTGATATTTAGACTTTTTCATTTTCTCTTCTTTATGATTTTTCTTTTCGCAGATACTTCGATTGATATTTTTAGATATTTTCGTTTATCTTATTTATGATTCTTTTTTTTGCAGATAATTTCAATTGATACTCAGATATTTTCATGTTATCTTCTTTAGGATCTTTTTTGCAAAGTTTTCAATTGACATTTAGATATTTTCATTTTTCTTCTGTACGATATTTTTTTGCCAGATATTTCAATTGATATTTTGATATTTTCTTTTATCTTCTTTATGATCTTTTTTGGAAATATTTCAATTGATATTTAAACATTTTTTTTCTATTTTCTTTATGATCTCTTTTTGATATATTTCAATTGATATTTAGATGTTTTCGTTTGTTTTCTTTACGATTTCTTATTTTTTTTTACAATTATTTCAATTGATATTGGAATATTTTCTTATATCTTCATGATCTTTTCGTAAATATTTCAATAAATATTTAAATATTTTCATCTGCCCTTTTTATGATTTGTTTTCGTAGATATTTCGATAGATATTTAAATATTTTCATCTGTCCTCTGAATGATTTTTTTTTCTAGATATTTCAATACATATTCAGATATTTTCATTTGTCTTCTTTACGATTCTTTTCACAGATATTTTTATAGATATTTTCACCAATCTGTTTTATCTTTATTATTATTTATTATTATTATTTCTTCTTCTTCTTCTTCTTTTTTTTTTTTTTAAGGTACAATTGACTCTTTGAATTTTTCTACCTTTTTGAATCATCTTTAATTATCTTTGTTTTTTTTTTTTGGAAATGGATATCTGATATTTGATATTTGATATTCGCATTATCAATCCTGAAAACTGTTAACTTGGATCTGCGAGTTTTTTTTTTATTTTCGCTATGTTACTATTTTGATTCTCCATTGATATTAATTTGGAATTTGTATATATTTCATTTCATAATGACCATACTTTTTAAGATCAGATGATTCTTCAGACATTTTCTACTTTTTTTTAAATGTAAACCTTATCAGTTTATATCACATAACTTCAATCTTATTATCAGTATTGACGAGCGTATTTCTCCTGATGAATATATTTTGATGATGCCTGTATGAGTTTTCCAATGGAACAATGACTTTGTTTATTTTCAAGCATCCATCTTTGTTAATAGATTTTGTTTATCAATTGTCAGGTATTTTTTTTTTCTATTATTCTTACAAATGTAAATTGAGTTCTGTCTAATGTACAAATAACAACAACAACAATAACAACAAAAAGGGATTCAGTCATTGAATATGATGAAATTCATAGATTCCCACGAAATAAAAATGTTCCTCATGATCTTCTTAAAAAGTTCTACGTTAACGTTGAATAATAAATCCACTTGATGATCCGGAACAGTCCTTTTATCTTCTTGATTATCTTAATTATTTTGATTATCTTCATTGTCTTCCATGATTTTTACTGCCTTTGAGTATTCTTCCATTTTCTTCCTATTCTTCTTTTTTTTCTTCTTTTTCTTCTTCTTCTTTTCAAATAGCTAACCAGTGATTAGTATATATATACATACATATATATATATTGATTAGTTCTAGCTGCACCCGTTGATTCTACGTCCTCCGTGGCTCCCAATCATCGAAGTTAATGATCCTATTGAATTCCGTTCCTTGTGTTGATCGCCAGGATGTATCGAACGTCGTTACCTGGAAAGGTGTGAGCGTTAGCTACGAAAAAACACACTGGGTGGGTGGGGGGGGGGAAGAGGTTAAGTAAATAAATCATTGAAATTGGAAAATTATTATAACGATGATAATGGATGATAATGGATGATAATGGATGATAATGACGAAAGTACATAAAGTTATCAGATACAAAGTAGACTAGGAAGAAAACAAAATTCCATTGAAATAAGATGATGTTTAAATGAAACAAAGTTAAATTGAAAAGTCTTAAGACAAACCATTTGTACAATTAATCTATAATACGAAGGGTGAGAGAGAGAGAGAGAGAGAGAGAGAGAGAGAGAGAGAGTTAGTTAAAAATTGAAAGAATTAACGGGGAGGGGGAGGAAGTAGGGGGTAGGGGGTAGAAGGGTTATGTGAACACAAGTTGGTATTTCCGTGGACTATTTGCATTTGCCAGAATGAAGGTCGATAAGAAAGGAAATGTGATTGACTGAATGACTGACTGACTGGCTTGCTTGCTTGCTTGCTTCCTTAGTTGGTTAGTTGGTTGGTTGGTTGGTTGGTTTCTTGCTTTATTCGAGAACCTTTAAAATTATATCATCGAATACAAGAATGGAACGAGATTGCGTATATAAAAATAAGTACGTGCTTTTTGTTTAATTTCTATGTCCTACGTGCATTTTTACGTCTGGTTAAAGGAGAAAAACGAGAGAGGAACTTCTTTCTTTATTGGGATAGGGTCAACTTGGTTCTTTTGTTGTTTCTTAAATCCCTACACTATACATATATACATATATATATATGTATATATATATATATATATATATATATATATATGTGTACTTGCATATGTCGCGTAGCGGCCTCACTAGCCCTTTTGTCATTTTCTTCGGTCAGAGGGTCAGATTTCTTTTTCTCTTTCTTTTCTTTCTTTCATTTTATTTTATTTATTTTTTTTCTTCTTTCTCTCCTTCTCTCCTTACCGACTATCAACGAGAACTCGATCTTCATTTCCGTATGTAATAATCGTCCGGATTCGCGATTGCATAATTCTCAAATATCCTTCGTTGCATCTGTTTTATTTTCTTTTCTGATTCCATCTTTCTTTTTTTTTTTTTTATGATCGTTCGTTCTTTCTTTCTTTCTTTCTTTATATTATATATTTTTTTTTTCCTTTCACTATGCTGCCCTATTTTCGACTGGCTCAGCTGCTGCGGTTTCGTAGAAAAAAAAAAAATAGAAAGAAAAAAGGGTTAGGAGTTGATAGTAAGCTTGAATTTTTTTTCAAATTTTCTTCTCGAATTACCGGCTCTTTCAAATCGAATAAAAAAAAGGGCTTAGTATGTGTCTTCAAAGGATTTTTATATATGTTCGGTTCTTTTTCTTTCAGTTTGGTTTTTCTTTTTATATATATATATATATATATATATATATATATATATATATATATATATAAATATATATATATATATATTATCAACATTTATCGACGGTTTTTATTTTCCATTATTTTTCTAGGGATTTTTTTTTTTTTAACCTATTTGCATCGGTAAACAGAATATTCCGTACATGACTTATTACCAAACGTGGACTATTCCGTGAGCTATGACTTTTATTTATCGTAAGTAGAGTCGTGATGCAAATGGATTGTATTGTAATGATTTTTCGTTCTTTTTTTTTTTTTCGAATAGTTTCTGATAAATTTTGACAATAATATATATCTTTTATATCATTTTAGCCAAAGTTATGTAAAATTATAATATCTATATTCAGATTTGAAATCTTTGTTTGTTTATAACAAAAGGAAAACTATATTGTTTGTTATGTTATACGCGTTTTGTAAATTTAATGTAAAAATCAAATCTTTTTATTATTAATTTATGTAGAATCAGAATATTAGATGAAGGTACTCTGTTTTTTGATAAATTAAATCGATGTCATTGAATTTCAGATTCAAAATTTAAACTTCATATGAAATTCTCATAACTCTTTGGTAAATGATCCAGGTATGTGTGTTAACTATATCTCGTACGATTGAATAGGTAAAAAACTATTTTAGCAGGTAGAAAGATTACCAAAAAAAAATCTTGGGTTTATCAAATTTCATCAAATTTCTACCCCTGAAAAACTCTACTTGGAAAGATTTTTATCCTGCTTCTCTGTCTTTTATGGTGTAAAAATTAAAATATTATATCAGATTATTTTTTGTTATATTTTATATATATATATAAAAAACAAAAAAAAACAGCGACTATTATATTTTTCTATAAAGTTAAAACTGGTAATTTTTATGGGACATCTGCTGTTTGATTATTTTCACTTTGTAAAAAATATTATTTCCTTTGTATCAGAATATGAATTATATATTTTATTCTTTTTTTTTTTTGTATGAATTATTTCGTTTCAATATACCTGCTGAAATGAAATTAATAATAATCAATTTAAATTAGATCTGAATAATCTAGGGAATCATTTTTGAGAATATTTCTATTTATTACGGAAGATTGTTTTGATAATATCGATCGAAAAAAAAAAAGAAAATTTTGTTGGAAAATTTCTATTGAGTCTAAATTAAATCGGATTATAGGTCAAAATGGGATTAATTTTGTTGAATCGAATGAAATTTCGACGTGAATGGAAAATTTAATCTATAGATATTTGTTTTATCGTAACAGCAATGCCAATGAATATTATTTGTTAGGCAGTTTAAAATCAGAGAGGGGTAAACGTTCGTTTCGCGCTATTTATTCTATGAGAATATGATTCAGGGGTAGTTCACTTCCGGTTTCCGTATGGTCAATGGAAATAGGAATAATCGTCACACCGGCTGCTTTTACGGAAGTATGTATACAATGGATGAATAAATATGCGTATAATTAACATTACTTTCCATATTGCCGTGTAGTTGTTATCGGAAGTGAGAGAACACATTTAAATAACAATGTTATTATTATTATTATTTATTATATCATCTAACGGATTCTTTAGTGTGTAAACTATTTCTTTCATTTACTTTTTTATCATTCCGGTATTTTAATTCATTTTGTTCATTAAAATTTTCATATTAAAAGAGATGATGAATCATAGTTTTTTCTTTTTTTTTTTTTTGATACACATACTTTGCTTTGATTCACGATTTCAATCATCAACAATCAATGATATTCAAATAATAAATTATTTTCTTGAAAATCTGTTCTATTACACAATGAGATCTTATTATGATTTTATTTATAATTTTTAATGATATAATGAGTTAATCAGAATTTTTGTTTATGATACGAATATTAATAGAACTGTTCTGTTAAATTTATTTATGTTTATTATGTCAGATTTAGGTATCGGTGAACTTTTTTCTTTTTTTTTTTTTTCAGGAGATCACTGAAAGTGAATTTTAATGTTTGCCAAAATAATTTTTCTTCAATTTAGTATTTCATTTTTTTTTTTATATTTATCATTTTTTATCCTTACAATATAAATTGTGCGCTGCTTGTTATTCTTGATATTTAGTTATAATTGGTTCAATGAGATTAGATTTTGATGGCGTCGATAATAATTCAGATTTATACTGTCCAGTAATGGTATTTTTGTAATTTTTGATCAATAAAGTTTTGAAATATATATATACACATATATATATATATATATATATATATATATATATATATATATGTTTAATCAAATCGTTGCATTATTATTATTTTGTTAATCTAAATTCAATATCTTGTTATTTATTTTTTTCTATAGCTAAAAATGTTCAAAATGATCAAACTTTTTGTTAGTACAAATCGTATTATTTTTTATTTATTTTTTCTATGAATAAAAATTTTCAAAATGATCAAACTTTTTATTACTCCAAATCGTGTTATTTTTTGTTTATTTTTTCTATGGCTAAACATTTTCGAAATGATCAAGTTTTTTTTATTACTCGAAGTCATGTTATTTTTTATTTATTTTTTCTATGGCTCCAAATCTTTTCCAAATATTTAAGTGCATTCAAAATATTTTACTGTATTTTATATCATGGAAAAATCAAATCAAAAATTTCACTGCAATATTAGTCTAAATTACTATGCTCAAAATATGTTTCATTCTAATTATTTTCTAATTGTTACAATTGACAAGCCATTTCTATTATGTGTAAATAATATTTCTGAATATATATCTGAGTTGTAATAAGAAAATACGTATACATGTATTTGTTCTCATGATTTTGAAAGTGGTCTAATCATAAATTCTATTTGCAATTTTCATAATATCAGTGATCCCATGAAATTATTGATAATCCAATGCAATGATTGAAAGAGTCAGTGAAATTTGAAAATTTAATTAATATAAATAAGCCAAAAATTTTGTGAGAAATTGATTTATAATCGTTCCATTAATTAAATCATTGATTGTATTTAACGAGTAGATATGATATCCGATTCAACATTATTTTTTGATTTAATATCGAGCATATTAATAATTTTTTTTAATAATGAATTAAAACCAAAATAATTTCGTTAACTCGATGCAGCATGTATTATTTATCTGATTAATTAATTTGAAATTTTGTCAATTAATCTGTTTGTTTGTTATGTTCCAATACGGAAAATATTATTAATCCAATTATTTCATTCTGATATTATAAAAACAGAGTACCCTCGTTTGGAATAAATTATATTTCTTTTAAATTAATCAAAATTTTGATAATGATGAAAAATACGAAATATGATTTAATGTAATTTTTTAGATCGATCAACTTTGTGCCATTTGTAATATTAATTTTTTTAATTCATATTATATATGGGAATATATATATATATATATATATATATATATATATATATATATATATATTAAGTTTTATTTCCGTCAATATTATGGTTATATGTTTACGTCTTAAGGTTTTTTTTTTTTATATTCTAAGACGAAATGACCATTTTTATGTTTCAATTGTATAAAATATTTTCATTCACAGAAATAATATGATTTGAATTCTTTTTCCTTGAGTAGTTGTTGAAAAAAAAAAAAGAAAAAGACAATTTTGCAAATTCGAATTTTCATATATGGTTGTTATATAATCTTTCAAAATAAAATACGAATATGTCACTAGATGAGTTACAGAATATTTTTTTAATCATTGCATTACGATGTATCATATCGGTATATATATAAAAACAAAAAATAAAAAAAGGACCGCTTTATAAAAGAATAAAATCTAATGTTGTCTAATATATAAATCAGTCTTGTATTATTAATTTCTAAATCTTTTCTATAATAATAAACTATAATCACGTTCTATGAATGATTTCAATGTGTCTTCAGTCGTCAACTGTGTTCATATATAATCTATCAGTTATATATATAAATATATGTATGTAAAAAATAAAAAATTAAAATAATATAAGAAAGATGAAAGTGTGTGTGTGTGTATATATATATATATATATATATATATATATATATATATAAAATATATATATATATAAATGCTCTAAATGATTTTAAGATCTACTAGACTGTAATACGATCAAATATGCTTTTGATGACAACTTGGCCAGTATATCCAATGATATGCCTTTCAACAAAATTTTTTTTCACGCGTATTCATTTCTCTTTCTCTTTCTCTTTCTCTCTCTGTGTCTTTCCTCCCCTCTGTCTCCTCTCTCTCTCTCTCTCTCACTTTCTCACTCTCTCTCTATATTTCATATCTATATATATAAATTTTTTTAATTCAGACAAAAAGAATAAAACGTTCATCAGGATCGTATTTATAAAATATATTATTTACTTTTACATGCAACAATATGAATTTCCTTTTCTTTTTTCTATTTTGTTTGTTTGTTTGTTTGTTTGTTTGTTCGTTTGTTCGTTTGTTTGTTTAAAAAAGGCATCCACGATTAAAACGGTGTCCGTCAAGTTCTTAAAATCTGGAGCTCTAACTACGTATGTAGAAATTAAATTTACGGATTATATATTACTAAATGCAACGTTTAGTTATTCTTTAACTACTTGCTAAGATTCGATCTCAAGTCTACACATATAAAAAGAAGGTTTCTTTTTCTATTATTACATTATCGAAAAGGATTATTGAGACGAAGTTATCAGAATATACAGTAACAGGTACGTGTTTAGGTACTACTAAGCGGCGTGCTTACATTCGAAAATGTAAAAAATAAAAAAAAAAAATAAAAAAATAATAAAAATAATAATAATAATAATAATAATAATAATAATAATAATAATAATAATAATAATAAAAAGAAAATAAAAAGGGTGCATTAAGTGCGTAAAATACGAATTGATTTTTTTGCCATTAATGAATCTCTTTCTTTCTTTCTTTCTTTTTTTTTTCTCTTTTTTTTTTTTGATTTACGATCTACGTTATTAGGAATATTAATACGTTTTACACTACCGTGCCAAACTATCGTAATACTTTTTTGGGATAAAATATTTTCACTATTCTAACATAAAAGATTTCTAAGAGTTAATACGTCTACTATATATATATATGTATGTATGTATGTATATATATAGTTTTTGTGAAAAGTACATGGCGATATGGGAAAAAGAAAAATATTATTAGATATCTCGCGTGTGTACATGATTCACAATTATTGGATAGGTATTAATCTATCGTTTATCGATTAAAAAAGGATCACGTTCAAGATAAATATAAATGTTTAGATTTGTATCCTATATATCTATTTTCTAACGGACAAATTTGTTTGCGTGCGTGCGTGCGTGCGAGCGTGCGTGCGTGCATGAGTGCGTATGCATCTTTTAGAAATATAAATTAAATGGAAGAAAATTAAAGGATTAAAAAAACGATACTTTTGAACTTAAATAAAGAATTAAAAAGAAACATGAGTCTGAGCTAATAAATGGGCGACGGGAGGGGGAAGGTAAATAAATCAGAAGAAAAAAAAATTAGGAGAATTAATAAAAAATAAAACTAAAGGGAGAAAATTTTTCTAAAACAAAATTTTGTAAAATAATTTTGATTGGATCTTAGTACATGGATAGAGTAGGGCCGAATATACGATAATTTCAAGTGCCATTAATTTCGACGATACTTTTATCACGATATTCTGTTTCGTAAACACCCTTCGTAATACCGAAAGTGTCTAACTATGAAAATACGCCGTAGAGAAACGACAAAAAAAAAAAAAGAAGAATACGAGGAATATAATAGATAATAAAATATGAGAGTTCACGAAGCAGAACAACGTCGATGTATTCACGATAGAAGCCAAAAGAAATAAATAAAACCGGAGAAATTAAACGATGTTAAATCATTTTAGTGTAGTCTATCGAAGCACCAAGATCATTCGATAGGTATATCAAAATAAAGCCGAGACAAGACTCACCATTATCGTTTGGTCCAAGTTGGTCGATTGATCTGCGACAGAAAAAATAGAAACACCTCCGGTTAGATTATACATTTTCTTGCTTTTTTTCTCCTCCTTCTTCTTCCTCCTCCTTCTCCTCCTCCTTTCGTTATCGTGTTAACACCGTTCGTTGATCATGGCTCCTCTTCCGCTGACTCCCGTAATTTTAATAGTCAAAGATGATGATGACGATGATTAGTGTGATCAGGAGAGAGGGGAGAGAGCCACGATACTCTTACGATGCTCTCACGATCCTCTCACGATGCTCTCTCCACAGACGATCGAGCTGTTCTGTGCTTCTGCTTGCCACTGGCAGCCCTTATATACCTTGGCAATGGCCAGAAGGGCCCTAGCCAAGGCCGCACATGTGAGTCTCATTGGTACACCAGGGGAAGAGGAGGCCCTGGGAAAACGGTTTCAACACAATACTACTTTCTGCAGGACCGGTCTCCCCCCTCTTTCTTTCTTTTCTTTTTCTCATTTACCTCTCCTCTTCCTCTTCTTCTTCTTCTTCTTCTTCTGCTTCTGCTTCTGCTTCTGCTTGTGCTTGTGCGCTTCTATTTCTGCTTCTGTTTCTCCCTTCCCCTATGTTAACCAACGTTGTTCGTGATCTCACCCTGACAAGGGGAGAAATCGACCCCCTAACAGATATCCGTCAGTCGATTTCTTATACCTGTTCCTACGTCTCGTGCCTGCCTGTTGCGTTAAAGTTCGCTTTTCTCTTTTCTCTTCTTTTTCCCTTCGACGATGGGAACGAACCCTACAGATTCATCCAAGAGGACCCTTACTTCCAGGTGCCATTCGCTTGCGATAAGCCGATTTTATCCACGTCCAAACGACGTCCTATCCAAGCTAAAGAATTCATGAGAATAATGAACGATCGATCTAATTTTTATTTTCTCTTTTTCTTCCTTTTTTTTTTTTATTTATCTCAAAGCACATCTGTATTTAAAAATAATAAGAAATCTATTAATTTCATACCAATCATATTTGCAATAATTTTTGTTTTCTACTTAAATCATTTTTTCTAATATTTTTATATCGTAATAAAAGAGGCTACTTTTTATTATTTTTTATGTTCCTTCTTACGACAGTCTATGAAATGAAAATAATTCTTTAAAATCTTGAATAAGAATGATATTACAAAACCTGATTAAAAACATAATTTCAAAATATATATATATATATATATATATATATATATATATAAATTCAACGGTTATTTTTCCCATTAATAATTCAAAAAAGTTACACAATGGATCAAGACGTTAGATAAATTCACATAAAAAGTAATGCGCAGTTAAATCCGAAGGAACTGGAAGTTAAATCGATGAAATGTAATTTTGTCTTTTTTTTCTGTGTTCTTTTTGGTTTTTTTCTTTTATAAGTAATTTAAATAGCCGTGCGAATTCCCCTCGGGCGAGATTTGAGATCCAGTTACACAGGTCTTACTAGACGTTGACCATTTATCGTGGACCGTTTCTCTTCTTTCTCCCATAGAAACTAAGAAACTACGATCTTTGTGCTAGAAAAGACGTTACCAAAGAGGCACGTGCTCTTCGAAATTTACATAATAAGAACACCATAAGAACGAAACACTGTGGGAACGTCTTTTAACGGCGCATCCTTGTTCCCTTTTATTTTGTTTTTTTGTTTTTTTATTTTTTTTTTATTTTCGAAGATCATCCCTTTCGTAATATCAAACAAACGGGTTTTAAAAATGCCGGAGGGTTCGAGTTAGAGCGTGTGAAAATCTTACAAACACTTCGTTCGAATTTTCTCGTTGATTTAATACATACATAGATACATAGACGTACGTACAATTGATCGAAAAGAAAATGGAAAAAGTACACATGTACGTAGTTCTTAACAATATAAAACTTCCCGGCAAAAAGAAAATGCTCTCCTTTTAAAAAGACTTTTCCCCCCTCGTTTCTCACGATTGAACCGTTGGAGGTATTGTCAAACTTCCTCGGATTTTCTCAAGCGAAGGGAGTACAAGCTGGAAATATATACGCAGATGCAACATAGGATTTCAATGAAAAATCGTTAGTATTCTTTCGTCATGGTTAAATACGTCATAATTTCATTCAATTCTGAAAATAGTGTCTATTTCTTCTTCTTTTTCTTTTCTTTTTTTTTTTTTTTTTTGTAAATATTATCCTAATATATAATACATGCATAAAATGTAAATATTTATCTCATATTATTTATATGTATATGTAAATATATTTATTAGAATTCTTTTATAAATTTGTTATATATATATATATTCATATATATAGTTATATATATATATAACAAATTTATAAAAGAATTCTAATGTATAAAATAATTTCAATCATTTTAACGAAAGTTTGATTAACCCTAAAGTAGTAGGTAGAATTTAGCCATTTAATGAAATAATTAGAGTCGCGTGCTACCATGTGACACGTCATCGGTATTAACGTTAAAAAAAAATATACGGGTACCCTTCTAGGATCATGGTACTCTCTTTACGGGATACTTAATTTTGCTAAAAGTGATGACGAGTCGATGGCTGCTTCGAAAATGTCCGTAGACTATGAGAATCGTGAGATTCCATGCTAGAGTGCAGTCAAATTCAAAAGCTGGGCACCCGCATGGTGGTCATAATCACAACCCTATTTTGATAAAATTAACAAGTCGAGATACTTTAGTGTTGTCAGGGGATGTATATATATACATATATATATATATATTCATACGTCATGGATAATATAACAATAATGGCTCTCTTATTATTTTACGAATAGGTAAAATTCTAATTAGCCATTTAACATTTCAAACGATACAATCTTTTGTCCTATTTGTTTTTCTTATCTTTTTTCTCTCTTTTTTTTTTTCTTTTTTTTTTTTTAAATTTTCATAGTCATAAATCGTTTACGAATTTTCTATTAACATTTCACGTGAAATTGTACATTTTATAACGTCAGATATATAATTTATATATGGAATATATATATATTATTAGAATTAAAAAGGAAAGAAGAAAAAAACAGAGGCACGTGTTAATATTTTTTTCTAAACAAGGCAATTGGTATTCGTTTAAAAAAAATTAGAACACGTGCCGTCCGCTAACAATATTGATTTCCCTGTGTAATATCGTTTCACCAAACGTCGTTTCCTTGGTGATCTAGAATAGTAAGAAAGGACAACACAATGAGTCTCTAAGCCCATGGGTCACAGTTCATTTATGTTTTACTAAGTCTATCCGCGGAATTCTTACTTGATAGTTTCGAATTCGAGGAGATTGTTGAGACAGTAACTTTATCGTTATTAAATGTTAATTAATTGAATAACTTTGAATAATAATGCCATTGATAGAACAAGCGATTACTGGTCAGGAGGTAACGATACCACCAAGATTGCCAACGATATTGAAACAATTTTGTAAGGCAGCTATTCGAACCCAACCCTACGATCTTTTGAGATGGTCCAGTGCATATTTTCGTGCATTAGCCGACGGCGAGGAACCACCAGTTAAATTGAGACTCGAATATCCACCACCTAGTACAGCTTCTGGTTTAACACTTGGCTTCCTTAGAGTTCTTCTCCGTCAATTTGGAGGTACGCATATTTTTCATTTCTTTTCCATCATCTTATGATCTTATCTTATGTTATTTCTAAGAAAGAATGAAAAAGAAGAAGAAGAAATAGAAGGAGAAAAAATGAAAGAAAAGAAAGAAAAAAAGACAGAAAAAAGACTGATATTTAATTTCTCGAAATAAAGATAAACATACATTCGTAAAAATAAACAAAAGAAGTTAAAAAAAGAAAAAGAAGTAATTATTGAATAATTCTTATTTTGTAATTAGAATAGATATTTATTTAATTATCATAGATAAAGAAGACGGATAAATAGAAATAATTAGAATAAGTAAAGTTGAATGATCTCATTTTGTATATAATTAACATAGATATTTCTTTAATTAACTTAAATACAAATAAAAAGAGACAAAGAGAGAGATATATATATATAATTAGAAATAAGTATAAATAAGAAATGAAGTAATAATAGATAAGAATGAGTAAGAAGGAAGATAAAATATATTTGTTATTGTTTAGATTACAACAAAACATTGTCGATCGATGTTATCTCACGTCGTTGGGAATGCTTGTGTCTCGATCGTAAAGAATTAAATCTGATAATGATGATAGGGAAATTTCGTCGAAAGTGCCAAGTTAAGAAGTTTTTGGCAATAGCCGTTGGTCTTTTAGGATCTAGTTTACGTGAGACAATGATTATGATCTGCGAATTATTTACGCATGAACCTGACGGTGGATCGGCCATGGTTCCAGTTACATTATTCATGGAAATTTATGGGTCTGTTTAAGTGTGTATTTATGTGTATTTGTGTGCGTGTGCGTGTGTGTGTATGTTTTGTAAAACAAAAACAAAAAAATCTTGTAAATAATACATTTGAATATATTTTCAATAGATCGTAGATAAAACGTATGGAGATCGTTTTAATCTTATTTATAGATACTTGGCCGGTCTTAGATGCGATGGTAGCGAAAGAAGTTCATCTGAAGAAGATCCAACAGAATTTCTTGTATTCGACGAGTCTAATAGTAGTACATCTTCGAAAGTACACGAGTCCATCGATAATAACATCTCCATTGATCGTGTATATTCGATCGCTAGTCAAGATACTGAAGCCGATGTCAATTTAGATTTGAATTTAATTTCTAAGGAAGCTGCTGATTCGTCAAATAGTAAATATCATGAAATGTTTCACATTTTCATTTATTTTGTATCAAATGAAAAATTATCATTTCTTATCGTTCGATTATACATTCCTTTGCTTTTTTTTTTCTTTCTTTTTTTTTTTTTTTTGATAACGAATCAAATATTTAATCATCGATTTGACTCTCATATAGTGATAATATCGCCAGAAATTAGTGGGAGTTGTTCGACGCGGGAAGATGATTCGAACGAGAATGTCGATGATAAAATTTCGAGCAGCAATAACACAATTGAATCCACATCGGATAGTACATTGAAACGCGAGGAAGACAGTAATGTTACTGATTTTACAATAGAACCAAGTAAATCATTGAATTCGAAGGATCCTTGTGAAAAATCATCGACAAATGAAGATAATCAAAAGGATATAATCCATGATGACGTAAATACTGGGAATTCGTCCGATAAAAGAGACGTCTCGTTGATTAAGGAACGAAAAAAAATTAGAATTGCTAATGCACAATTAATTTCATATTATCCAAATATTCCAGGTACTTCTTTTTATTTTCTTTTATTTTAATAATTTAATGATTATTATAATCCTTATTCTTTTTAAATTAATTCTCTATTTTGCGAGTTTATCAATAATCTTTGTTTATTTATCATATGAGTTAAGATTAATCTGATTTTTTAAAATACATATATATATATATACATATATATATATGTATATATTTATTTCGTATATAATATATACATATATATATATATATGTATATATTTATTTCGTATATAATATATACATATATATATATATGTATATATTTATTTCGTACATAATACATTATGTACAATATACTTTATAGGTATAGGACCTCGTTTATCTGCAGAAGAAGTGGCAAGCGTTGCTATATGGATGAGCGAATGTGCTAGATTACAAGAAGGAATGATTGGTCCACGAAATCTTCGACATCCTCAATGTCCTCCCTTATATAAGCAAAGACAATCAGAATCATGATAGTAATAAATACAATGTATTTGAAATTAAAAAGATTAGTTGTTTAAATATTTTAGTTGAAGAATACATTACTGTTTCTATAATAATAAAAAGAAAAAAATATTATTAATATGTTTCAAAGCATATAAATTAGTTTTATTCGTACATCCGCCTTATGTTTTTTCTTTCTTTCTTTTCTTTTTTTTTTTAAATTTCTTAATTATCATTCTAATTTTTTTTTTTTCCAGCATGAAGAAAATCAAATTTATTTCAAAGCTGTTGCAATACATATGTATAAAGATTGATATATAGTTTATTTGGCATATATATATTGGTGCAGTCATCATATAACAAATATTATACATATACCGACACACACACACACACACACACACACACATATGTATATATATACATATATATATGTGTGTATATATATTATGTAGATGCATATGCATATGTGTTTTATATGTAAAATCGCAAATCGCATGATTTTTTTTTATAATTGCACAATGATATATATTGAGATTATTTCTTGTTAATATCACCAGTATTGTCTTCTTCGTTAGAATATGTTTTTTCATTTTGTTTTTTTTTAAGTACACAAAATTTGTTATTGACATATGTTTGTACATATACACTTTTATATATATATATATTCAGGGTTTATTAGGTTTATTATTAATAAATATATTTTATTAACGATATTTTTCATGTACAATGAATTGATTAAATTTTAAAGAAAAATTTTCTGTGCAACATCATGTACCTGAATACACATAAAATGTTATCTAGATATAAATGACTAGTATCTCTTAATTTATTTAAAACATATATATATATATATATGTATATGTATGTATTAAAACATATATATATATATGTATGTATGTATGTATATAGAGAGACATAGATATGCAATTTTTATTTCTTAATGTACACGTTTGAGATTTATTTATTAAGTCATGAGCCATTTACTTTGATCATAACTATAATCGATCACCAATGAAATATACCACATATCTTATATTATATCTTTCTAGAATAAGAAGAAAAAAAAAGAGAGAAAAAAAAATAAAAAAGAATCTATTTGTACAAATTAAAATTTGGTTTGTCCTTTAAGTCTTTAGTTACTTCTGTGAAATATTAATGTGACCGCTTGAAAACTACAACAAGTTAAAAGATACGTTAATATCATGTGTAATATACCTTTCTTAGATGTATAATAGATAAAAATTACGCTATTATAAAATTAATCTATGTTGCGTTCATTCACGTTTTATATATGTATCACATATATATAAAACGTTTAACGTATGTTAAACGTTTAACATATGTAATCACATTAACACATCTTCAATAACGCATAACGCAGTTATTAGATATGTTGATAAATATTTTCTATATAAGCGAAATATAATTAAATATTTAATTACATTATACCTAGAGAAAAGCTATAAACATTTTTGCATAACTATTCCTCTTTTCTTTTATCTATGAAAATTTGTTATTTACACAAGATCAACAATATCTATATATATATATATTTCTAAGAAGCAATATCTATATATATATATATATTTTTCTAGAAATATATATATATATATATTTCTCTATCTATATTCCGTAAAAAGATAATTATTAATTTATCATATATTTATATGTATATATATATATCACAGTTAAGACGCTGTTACTTATTTTTAGAAAAAAATCTCTCAAAATCATGTTTATCACATATTTCCAACAATATATCATAATAATTTTATCTAATAACAATGTGTGAGTTTTTCTTTTTTTTTTTTTTTTTGTTTTTTTGTTTTGTTTTTTTATATAAATTCGTTGTAAATATGTGCATATATAACTACTAATTGTATACATTTAATAATGAAAAATGTCTATACGAGAATGATTTTATGATTGAATGATAAATTTGTTTACCAAAGTAACTCACTCTCTCTCTCTCTCTCTCTCTCTCTCTCTCTCTCTCTCTCTCTCTCTCTCTCTCTCTCTCTCTCTCTCTCTCTCTCTCTCTCTCTCTCTCTCTCTCTCTCTCTCTCTCTCTCTCTCTCTCTCTCTCTCTCTCTCTCTCTCTCTCTCTCTCTCTCTCTCTCTCTCTCTCTCTCTCTCTCTTTCTCTCTCTCTTACTCTTTTTAATATGTAAATATCTTAAAAATAAAAAATTGCACATGGACATGTATAATAATAATATTTTCCTGAGTTAAAATGTGATTAATTCTTATGACTGAAGGTAAGACTTTCCTATAAATACACCGTCGAATTGTATATATTTAACCGACTCTTCTTTCTTCATCTATTATTTAAATTATTTGTATAAATGATTTCAGTGAAATATTATATTCATTATATAAGAAGAGTGGGCAGTGTGCGAATTCTAAAAATTCTTCGTATATGATAATATGATAAATGATATAGAGTAATGATCAATAACAAAACTATGAGTATTAATAATAAATTTCTTGTTCTTGTTCGATTTGCACGCCATTCAATAAGTTCTTCACGATAAGAAAATCGATTACGGAATTGCGGAGGTAGTTCAAATGTACTTTTTAAAGGATACAAGGAACGATAAAAATCATTTAATAGTGCTCGAACGATTTCATTTTCGGAATGACGTAAAGGATCCATATCATCGTTTAAACATATAAACTTTCTGTAATATAAATTATATATATATATATATATATTATATATAATAAATTATAATTTAAATTGAAAAGTTTAAAACTTACTTTGGATCACGTCTAATCTCATCCAAAAGCTGTACAGTAAGAGACACGTTACTTGTTAACATTTCAAATATCTCATTTTTTCCAGCTTTTATAACTTCGTGCTTATAACGTTTGGATTCGCCAAATCTTGCCTCAATTTTGGATGCGACCCAATCACAATTTGATATTAACTCTTTAGACACTACAGGCTGTATATTAAAAAAAAAAAAAAAGAGAATAATAAATAAATAAACTATAATGTTCGTTTGAATATTTGTTAATGAATTTTACATCTTATTGTCCACTTACAAGCGTAGAATCCAAGTATCTTTCACCAGGTGGTGCCTTAACATTTTCCGTGAGTTTCAAATATTTCGAACAATTCGTGATAGAATTTTCAAATTCTACAACCAAATTATAATCTAATGGTAAAGGATATAGTCTGGATAAAAGTGTTCGTATCTCCCTATCTGACCAAGTTCTAAAATCATATCATATATTATTGTATTATATTATTATAAGGTAATTATTTTTAATTATATAATAATATTAATATTTCTTACCCTGATTTATCAGTATCAAACTTATCAAATATATCTTCAACTGGTATATAAAGATTTTCATTCATTAAAAAGTAAAAATATGAGAATGCAAATTGCATATCCTCTGCATTTCTCACTTTATGACTAGAAGTTTTTATAAAATCAGACTCAAACTTTCTTTGCATACTATTAACAATCCATTTGTCTATCAAGTGAGGCATATGCGCTGGAACTTTTCTTCTATCGAAGCCATAAATTATATTATATATTTTATTAACATACAGCAAGGATTCTGCATACGTATCAAGCTGTCTCTTTTTATGTTTCCATTGATCACTATACTTCAATTTATTTGACTTCATACTGTTATTTCCTTGTACTAGATTAATGATATCATCATTGAGGTAGCGTTTAAATTGTATATGTAGTTTTGTATGATTAGAATTTCCAAATATACTTTCAGGTATGTCATTAGTGTCACTTAGTTTTATTGTTTTACTATTATCATTATGTTCCTTGATATCAAAAAGTTTTGTAAGATTATTTGCAGATGAACTATAATTTTTGGATTTTGATGTTCTATGAGTCATTGCTACAGTATGCAACCATGCAACTGTAGTACTACTATTTTTTATTTCAGAATTATTAAATGACACAGTACTAGATTTATTTTTTTCACCTACAATCTGTAAATATTTATACGGATAATCACTTTCCTCCTCGAATGGCTCACTATCGGTGGATAATGAAGTAGAATTGCAATCTCCGCCTAAACAGAAAAGATATTATAATATATTTAGCGTATAAATTTAATTCTAAAAAAGAAAAAAAAAATTAAAAAGAAAATTACCATCAAATTCGCATAGAGTTGTATTACATGCAAGATCACACGATCCATCTCCTACCCATGCCCATGGACAAATATCGGAACAATCAGGAACCCACCATGCTAGATACACTTTCTGACCACCTGCTTGAGTTATAAAATCCTCTGGCCATACTTCTGCGCCAAGCATTACATCATCATTAAAATATAAAAACTTATCAGAGATACCGGGTATTCTAGAAATATGAAATCAATCATTTAATCATTTAATAAGACACATATATATATATATATATATATATATATATATATATATATAACAAAATGAAATGAATTAAACTTGAAACAATGTATACCTATGAATATGACTTTCAATAGCAGGACTAGAAAAAGTTGGTAAATGATTTTTGTCCAGAAAAATATCTTCATGAGTAATAAGAGTCATCCTAGGATTATCCATATCCAACCAACTTGGAATTTGCCCATTGGTGACAATGTAAACATGTCTTACCCAAGGTGCATACATTTCTAATGATCTTAAAGAATATCTTAATTCATCTTTGTCGCTGAATCTCGAAGAAATTGTATTACTATCGGTAATAGGAATATGCTTTTCAAGACTTTTTATAAAATTTGGATCGGATCCATTCACCCAAGTATATACTACATCTATAGGTACATGTTGACATAATTTTTTTTGAAAAGATTTTCCTAATATATTATCATTAAAGGAATGAAAAACAGCTTCATATTTCTCTTTACTCCATGCCAACCAAACCTAAAAGAATATATATTTACAAATTTTTGAATTTTGAAAGAAATCTTTTATATATATATATATATATAAAATATGTGTGTGTGTGTATATACTTGTATACAGATTTTCTATAAATGAAATGAAATGAAATTACTTCCATAACTTTTTTATAAGAATGACAAAAGATACATTTATTATTTAAGACACAAAATGAAGGTTATAATTTTATAAATTTCCCTCCAAAATAAAGGAAAGTTTATAGGAAAGATAACTTTATAACGTAACAATAGTTACTAACAATTAATTTATCAATTTTTTATTAATAAATTCGAAGGAACAAATAGGGAGAAGAACAAAATCAAATAAATGAAAAAATAAATTAATAGAAATAAAAACAAAACGAAAAAATAATAGATAAATAAATAGACAAATTATGAATATGATTGGTAGATCATTCTAACCTCTCCAAAATGTATAATACCGATGAATATGCACGTAAATGCTACTAGTATTACGAGGAGCGAATACTTATACGAAAGAATATCGTAACATCGTCGTTGTAATAATTTCCATGCGCTCATTATATTAAAAAATATTTTACACGTAGTTGACATAGCCGGTAAACGCGTTTGAGTCCATTAACCAGCAATTTACGGCTCTTTGGCCGTGATACATGCAAATCGAATTGATTTAGTTGCAAACTTTATGTTAGTGGCCGCTTTTTATTGATGCCCTTCTTCTGCATCAATTATATATTCTTCATACAACGTTAATTTGTTACTAATAACACTTTTGATATACTAATACAAAAACCTGAACACACGTTTAATAACCGCTTACCACCACCCACGGTGGTCTCACCACAGTAAAATACAGTCAGTTGAGAATCGTAATAAAGTTAGCCGTATGCAAAGTCGCTATATGATGATAATAATGATACTTGTGCGCATGTTTCAATTGTAAAAACACGTTGCAATATTATAAACGAATTAATTAATCTTTTTTTTTCTTTTTTTCTTTTTTTTTATTCGATTTGTATTTCTTATTTTTTTATAAAAATAAAACTAGAGCCATGAACGTTAATGTAATTGTATGTTACTTTTAAAATTCTATCTAGTTTGTATTATGATAGTTATTCAATCGGATAACGAACATTTTGAATGATTTTTTGTTAAGTATTTTTTTTTTTTGTTATCTCATTTAATCGTCGATTATTTATTAATTAGTACATTTATTTGCGCACCTGAAAACAGGCAACACTTCATATTTCATTGATAATGATGCTTATATGCATCGTCAATAATCATCAATAATTTTGTATCCTTATAATAGGCAATATGGTATTACGTATATGTATGACGGTGTTGTCATGCATAAGGTGTTATCGACGGAGTTTGGAGTATTACATATTTTCAGGCGCAATATTCAATTTTTCATATTATCATGGAAGAACTTCATTCCCGTAAGGAACATAATCCTTTCGATATTTTCTGCTTCTTAATTCTAATCAATTTGTTATTTCTATTAGAAATTCAAAAATAATTTATATAGAATTTCTCAAGACTCGCGAGATATTGAAAATTAATTATCATTTTGTCATTTTCTCTAACGAATCAAAAACGAGCTCTAACAATGGTCCTTCGAATAGGATTCTGTTTTCGTGATTTCTTATTAATATTGAAACTTGATAATTAACGTATCAGCTGTTTCTTGTTTAGAAATAAATTCTCGAAATATTTTCTATATATATATATTTATATATAAATATATACAAGGAATGTATGCGCATGTATCTGCAAAAATACCTGTTCAAAGTTTTTATTTTGAGCTTAGGCATGATAAATTTTTTCACTTCAATTTTTTCACGTAAAATTTTTGCATGACACTTTGAAAGAAATAAAACAATCCTTCAAGACGATTTTCTTCTTCTCTATTTTGAGATCTTGATATTGGATTTTATTACGATGCACTGCGTTCTGATAAGAAAAGTAAAAAGGCACAATGGGATCGCAAATAGCTTGTAAAGTCACCTTCTATATATATACGTCAGTTTCAAAACTTTGCCAAAAGAAAATTATTTTCTTTTTTCAGTATTTTGTTTAACTTCACAATTTGATATACGCTTTTATTTTTATCTTAATATATATTCATTTTCCTTGTGGTTCTCATTTTTAACTCAATTCATGTACATTCATATTTATAAATCGGTTCTTTCAATTTTTTTCTTTTTTTTCTTTTTGTTCTATTTAAAAACTTGTTAATTTTATTTATAAACAATTAGATAAAATACAATTCAAATTCCGACATATTTAAAAGTATTTCAAATGTATTTATTTATCATCATATAATACAATTGAGTAATAGTGAAATACATTTGTAAATGTGAAATTTCTGATCGATTCTCATAAATTTATAATAAATACGATATGCATTAAAAGTATTAAAATCGAAATCAGAAATCGATGGTCCTTCGTTGATTCTCCTTGTCATTTTATATAATTCTATCTATAAGATCAAATTTGTACATTTTTGAGTGTTAAGCGTAATTGTTGTCCCTATAAAGAAGTATGTACATATCAACCAAGAAATCTGTGGACGTTGCATTTAGGATCAAGAAGAAATTTATTTATATTCCCAGTAGTCTCCTTATTCAATCTTTTTTTTTTTTTTTTTTTTTGTCAAATATTGCAATACAATCCATAATGCTTATGATTAGTAAGTAAAATAGTATGTTTATCATTAAAAAAAGAAGTTATAATAAGAAATCACTGATTTACTATCTATAGAAAAAGGAATAATGATTTTGTTGGCCACGACAGTTTTCTTATAACATTTGATCAATCTTTCATTTAAAGAAGACGAACATTGAAAATCTTTTAAATATCACTAACTAACATATTTTAATAATTTGTACAAAACTAAGATGCTCAAGACCTGAATCATTTTACGTAACCAGTATAGCCTGTAACATAGAAAAAATGAAAAATACAATTCGTCATATACAATATATATTGTGATCATTGAAAAATTATAAATAAAGGGAAACAAAAGGAAAGGAAAGGGGGGGAAAGAAAAAAAAACAAGAAAGAAAAAAATAGACATTGGCCAAACTCACTTGGATAATCGACTTCGTGCTTTGGTCAAAGAATCGGGATGATCCTTTAAAATATATTGTCTAATACCTAATGTATATTGACGCGTATACGCATCCCAATCTATATCCTTGAAGTCTACACGAAATCGGCTACAGTCATTCATAGTTTTTACATGTTTTATTAAATCCATCATATTATCTAAACCAAAATCCCATTCGTGTAAGGCGAAGAACGCACCGACTTTTGCGGCACGATCGATACGTTTCGACATATCCAACATGCTGCGTATAAAAAAAAAAAAAAGAGAAAGTACAACAAAATGTACATACACAATTTATTTTTATAAATTAAAAAAAAAAATATTTTTTCGTCAACAATACTTACGTAGGTTTACTACCCTGACACATTAATAATAAATCCACTAAGAACGCAGGTAAAAAGTGTAATATAACGACTATAATTTTATGAACTAATCTATTGGTTGTAATTCCGACATTAGGATACCACATAACATATTTCGATGGTGATTCTATAACATGTTTTCTTATATGTTTAGCGAATTCGCCCCAACTAAAAAAAAAAAAAAAATAATGTGTAAGAGAGATAAGATTGAACGTTTAAATACAAAGATTGAAATTATTTTTTCCAAAACCTTTGTTTCCTTTATTATTTAATTTACCTGATAGGATTGATGGTGCTACTTGCACAATTATAAACTTGTATTGAACCGTCACGATGTATTGTACTATGCCATGCCGCACATATCAATGTATCAACAACGTAATCAACCGGTACAATATCGATTTTTAACTTTCTATCGCCGTATATACTTCTAATGGTACCTCTACCGATTTCAGTAATAATACCTACAAAATAATGATATAATAACGGAAGACAGTATATTTCGTCGAGAACAACAATTGATATCGATCGTTAAAAAGATATATTTATATATATATATATATATATATATATATATATTTTTTTTTTTTTTATATATATAAAATCCTCATACCTGTAATACCATATAAATTATCTATCCATCCTGGAAGTGGTTCCTGATAAGCTGCACAAATTATACTAGGTCTAACTATGATGATCGGCAAACCAATTCCTTTCTTCGACACAAGTTCTTCTGCAATACCCTTTGTGAGTGTATACGTATTTGGATGTTTTTCAAGTAATTTTTTTTCTAATACATTTAACGTTTCATCATCAAGAATCTCGCACATATCCATGATGACTTGCGCCGTTATTTCGGTTCTGTAACGTTTGAAAAAAGAAAAGAGAAATAATAATAATAATAATAATAATAATAATAATAATAATAATAATAATAATAATAATAATAATAATAATAATAATAATAATAATAATAAAATGATCAACATTTATCTACTCTGTATCGCTGCACTGAAGGGGGGAAATGAAAAAAAAAGAAAAAAAGACAGAAAGAAAGAAAGAAAATGGGAAGAAAATAAAAAGAAAAGAAAATCATAATTAATTGTTTTCTTTGTTTTTATGTAAAATAAAAATATTAATTCTTACTTATAAACGAGTTCCTTTACTTCGCGTTTATCGGCATTACTGTAAGCAGTACTGACATGAACAAGACTTTTAAGATGGCTCATGGATTTGCATAGATCCAATACTCGATCGGTCGCTCTTATGTTCAACATAACTGCTACTTTTAGGGGCTCATTAAAACGTACAGTGGCAGCACAATGGAAAACTATGTTTACATTTTGAGTTAGTGTCATTCTATCATTTATGCTCAAACCCAAATCAGGTTCACTCGCGTCTCCTTGTATTGGATAAACTTTGTTTATCACACCAGGATGTTCACAACGAATTTTATCGAAAATCTGAAAAAAGTAAATAAATTTAATTCTCAATTATATTTATATCTATCACGAATAATAATTATTCTTTGCATTATAAATTTTTCATTTGTTTTCATATATTTCATTCGTAATAAATTAAAATATACGATAAACATACAATATTATTATTTATATTGAAAAATGTATAACGCAAGACAAAGAGGTTTAACTCACCGAATTATCAACGAGCGTTTGAAATCTTTCTGTAAAAGTTTGACCCTTTTTTGGACGGATCAGTATATAGATCGTACTTAAACGAGGACACGATCGCAAAAGTTTTTCCAAGAGAGCTTTTCCAAGAAAACCGGTTGCTCCGGTTACGAATATCACTGAGTTAGCAAAGAAGGCCTCGATCGAAGTACCGTTAAGATTAGTATCATCATTGATACGCTCCAAATCTTTATACGCATTCGTTGTACCCATTTTGATGGTGCCTCGAAAGACTCGTCCTTCCTTAATTCTTGAGATAGTAAAAAAAAAAAAAAAAAAAAAAAAGAAGAAAAAGAGAACAATAAGAAATATAACTATTTATTATAAGACACAACAAAAATTAATAACAATTTCATACTGATATCGTATTATTTTTTATAAAATTTATATTGCCATCGATTTAACCTTCACTTTTTTCTTAATTATTTTCTTACGATTATATGAGATAACTATAGTTTTACCTATATTTTTCTCTAGACTTTTGATTTATTTCTTAGTAGAAAAAAAAAAAGAAAAATATTAACATATTCTTATATAATTTATATTCCAAAGAACGATACATCATGATTGCTATACAATTCTAAAGTATCGATCGATCGTAAAAAAAAAAAGTTGTTTTATTAGCACTGTGTCAAAGCGCACGTCATCAAAGTGCATTAAACTAAAAAAAAAAAGAAAAAAAAAAAGAAAAAAAAAGTACGATCTTGTTAATGCTCCTCTTGTTACAATAATTTCGAATTCATTCGTATTCTCAAATAAATCGCTCACTCTCTGTGTTCTCTTAAATTCAACCTACCTATAAACTTTTCTAATTAAAAAAAAAAAAACAAAGAAAAGAAAGAAAAAACAAAACAAGTTCAAAGATTAAATGAATATTGAATAATTTAGAGAAGAAAAAAGTCCTACGTTAATAACTGCTATTCATTTCATTAGAATAATTTATAATTTATAATATGTTAAAGAATGTAAATGCGAATGTAAATGCGAATAATTAAATATTTAGCTACGATAAAATATTATATTAGATTAAATTAATTATTTTTTTTATCTATAGATATTATATCTATACATCGAACTACATATATATATATATATATATATATATATATATATATATATATATATATATCATTGACATTAAATTTAATAAATTAAATTCAATATTCAAATTATATCTAATGAATTAATTGTAATATTCCTTTTACAACTTTTTATATGCATTTTCTCCCCCTCCTCCCCATTTAATTCCTCTCTTACATATTAATATTATGATCTTTGATACGTATCATATGAAATATATGTTTTTAAGTAGAACATAAAATAAATAATACAAATTATCGTTTATATAAAATAATTTGACATAAATGTCGAAAGGATAGTTCGTTTGAATAGAATCGATCGGCATGGAACATTCTTCGTTGAATGTTGAAGTTCTCTTAACCTTGGTAGTTTAAATATTCATACGCTCGTGCGTGATCTAGAGAACTATATTAACATGTAAAGAAAATAAAAAATATTTTCCTACTTTTTTATGACTATTGTTGCAGAACAATAACAACTTTCTCATACATATATTATTATTATTATTATTATTATTATTATTATTATTATTATTATTATTATTATTATTATATATATATATATCATTTAGATTTATTAATAATATATATTTTATAATATATTAAGTCACCCCAAAAATTAAAGCGATCTTTTATTTTTTATTTATTTATTTTTGTTTTTTTTTTATAAAGTAAGTTTTAAAAGAACGCAAAAAAGAAAATACATTCAATTTTTATCTATGATATTTTTTTATCAATATTACTTACAACTTGTACTCATTATTATATTATTAAATTTTTGAATAACTTAGAAATAAAAACGATAGAAGAAGATTTCAAGATTAGCCTCCTTTTCGGAACGAATGTACTAGATCTATCTTTAACCTTGGCTTATACTGATAGTACTTGGATCATAAATTTTATTTATTTTATTTATTGCTACTATAACCATTGTTATCTTAGGGAAACTTTTAAAATAAAATATGGTCAAATGTTTTCTCGACACTTCTTTGATGACATTTATTTTCTCACACTTAAATTCTCGTGTGAAAAATAGTATACGACGTCAAATTACTTTGAAACAATTTTGCTAATTCTAATAAGGCATACGCATCTTACGAAATTGTAACGATAATTGTAAAAAATTGCATCATTTTGATCAATAAGAAAGCAATTACATTAACTTATGGGATAGCCTAATATATTAATATATATTATTTATATTATTATTTTTAATTTTTATTAGTAAATATTCTTTCTATATATTATATGGTATATCATATATTAAATAACTACAATTTATACGACCTCCAATTATAATTTTTATAATAATTATAGATATCTGTCAAATGATATAATCGGAAAAGATGATAATAGTTTACATACTGTACATTAATGGCCGTTCTTGGTACTACAAATATAGTCATATTCTTGCAAAATGTGAATGCACAATATTACGAAAAAACAATTCAGAGAACGATGCTATATATTAGTTTCGACAATGTAGACGTGCGCATGAAAAGCATGCCAGAAAATAATCGATGTTGCTATACATGATAAATATCGAGCTTTGCCGGCCTTTCCATAACCTATATTTCATATTTATCTATCTATCATATATATAATGAGTTCATGGCTCACATTATGTTAATCAATGTCGAAAACAAATTTTTTTGTTGATCTATACATATCTATAAAAAATTAAAACGCGATTACGTTAATGATAATTTATTGCCAATTCTAAAGATAATTTCCTTTATTAATTATATAAATAGATCGATTTTTAAACAGCCGAAACAAATTGTATAAACAAGTCTGAAACTATCAGACATAAAAAAAATACGAGCTATATATGCAAGTAGATAAAATAAGATATGTCAAAAAATTAATCATGAGAAATCCATTCATAAAGATTTCAAGAATCACATATTTCAAGTTATATATATATATATAAAACTTGAAATATATCATTTGAATTGATATGATCCAAATTTAAACAAAAATATCGCGGTCATATTTTAGTGTTGTTTTTTCACGTGGTAATCGAATAAGTTAATGAAAAAGAAAAAACATTTGTAAGATACAATTTTCATAGATTTTGTGTCACGAACGTATTATAAAAATCACCATTCCATATATATATATATATGTATATATAAGCTTAATGTATATATATATATTAAGCTTGATGTATAAATTCTAATCTGATAAATTAATATTTCATAAGAGAGAGAGAGAGAGAGAGAGAGAATTAGCAAAAATAAATTAACTTTTACTTACAACTTAATCCCTTCGAATCGATAAACTAACAGATATATAAGATCGAAACGGATTATTACTTTTATATTTCTTATTTAACGTCTGTTGTAGAGGAAATTTCAAAAATAGGTCGTCAAACTTTAAAAATATATTTTACTCACTATATAAATGAAACAACCAGATCATGTAAACATGACTTGAGAGATGCTTTTCAAGTTATAAAGATTTTTTATTTACATCAGGCAATATATAGCTCGCATTCGACGTTGTATAAATTGTCCTTTCTATTTACCTTCTATTAAAGGTAAACAAGGATCACTTTTGTACGTTTTTGACACAATCCAAGAGACATCGATATTGTAAACATATATAAATTCGAAATTTAAGCAAAAATAACACGCGATATTTTCAATTGATTAACTCTAATAATTAAACGTTGCAATTTTTCATTTAATGATTAACCGAAATTAAACAATTAATTTGAAAGTTTCAAATAATATCTTATATTTTGTTACAAATAAAACAAGTGTTTATATAACTTGAAAAAAGAAAATCATTTAAATCCTTAACAATGTTTATATAACTTTTCTATTTTCGTTTTTACAGTGAATAATAAAATATGCTGTTAAAAAGTTTGACGATTTATTTCTGAAACACATTATATATATATATAATACATATATATATATATATATATATATATATATATATATATATATATATATATATATATAAAGAAATAAAAAAGAAAACGAGAAAGAAATAACAGAAAAACGTCGTGAATGGGATAAAAAGAAAATTATTGATTTTTCGTGACTCAGAGTAAGTCACGAGGTTCTCGCACCTATCATTTTCGCTTTACTTCGTGTTCATTACCTGCGAAATTGAAAAAAATTTTAATCATTTATTACACGGCTAATTTAAACTTTTCGATTTCACGATTTTCCATTCTATTTCTCATTTTCATTGGTTTAACGTTAGTACCATTACGAAGAACATTCTTATCTATGTAAATCTAATCTTAATCAAAATTACTATTCTCTAATTTAAATTTATATATATATATATATATATATATATTTTTTTTTTTTATGAAAGATTAAAATGTTTGTGAAAATGTGAAAAAAGAAAAATGAATTTAAGGAGATGTGAAGAAGAAAAGAAAAAACGAAGAAGGAAAGAAAAAAGATTTAATAAACATTTCGAAAAAAAAAGTGACGTCAATGTTTTTTAAATCAAACGATAAAGATAATTTTGTTGTAACGATGTTAATTAATATGATAAAAGTTTATTATTCTTTTTTATTTATTTATTTTTTGTTTTCTTTTTATAATAAGTATGAGGGAAACGATGAGACGATAAAACCGAATCGATTTCTCTTTATCGACGTTGTACCGAAGCGCAGACATTCGGCGCAAGAGACGAGGATACGTAGAACGATGAAATCAAATGAAAAGGGAGTAGGGCCACTTCAAAAGGCATCCTATATCGAATATTCCATGAAGGACGGATGACACACGTTAAAAAATACTTACATACATATAATACATATAATACATATATACATACATACATACATACATATATATATATTTATACCTGTCGGCTTATCGAAATATAGCTTGCGTACAAACGATACGATTTGGTGAATACATCGACAAAAAAAAAATAAAAGGAAAAAGAAAAAGAAATAAATGTTTTTCTATCTGTAAAAAAATTATCTCCTTGTATTTCTGTAGAAAATCTAAGAACAATATAAATCGTTAACTTGTCGTTGCAGTTTACTTTATTTTCTTATCGCGTTAGATATATACAGATGTCGATAATATTATTTACATAACCGAAAGCTTCGAGGTTTGCATTGTACGTTTTTCATTCGAAGTTTTTGTCTCTTTTCTTTTGTTCTTTTCTCTTTGTTTTGTTTTGTTTTGTTTTTTCTTTTTAATCTCGTAATCAAAAGTTAAAATTAATAAAAATGAAAAAGAAAAGAAATAGTTGACACAATTATCAACTCAACCGATAATGTTTGTTCTATACTGACATCAAATTTATCTGACACAATTTTTGAAAAGAATTTAATAGCGTAGAGAGGAAGGGAGGAGTGGGGGAAAGACAACAAACAGGGTGGTGGTATGTTTTGGTTAATCATTAAATCACGTCGAAGGTTACTTCCTTCGATTGAAATTGAAACGATTTTTTTTCTTTTTCGATAGTGATTTCTCTTGACTGTTATTCCAACGTGACTCGACAATTTATTCAAATATTAATTTAACTTTTAACCTGAAATAAAAAAAAAAAATATATATATATACATATATTTCTAATTAGATATAAATAAATTTCTGTTGAGAAAGGTAGACGAATAATTCAGACTTTATGGTTAATTTTTTCACATTAATATTTACCGGTTTAGTATAATTAATTTTATCCAAGGATAAAGCTGTACAGCGATTTTTTACACGCTTATCTTATCTGTCATACATATAACATATATTCACGCAACCTCTTGCTTTGCTAAGTTTTAAATTGTCAGCATTTCAAGCAGAGAAAATAAGAATAATTTAATAACAATCGTAATATTTCGAAAGAAAAATTTCATTTCGAAAGAAAAATTTCATTTCGAAAGAAAAATGAATGATTTTTGAAATAAGAAAAAAAAAACATTAAGCAATATTGATCCGACTGTGATAGTACATATGATTTAAGGATACGTACCATACGATTTAAGGACAATTATAATTTTAATTGTTGAAAAGAAAGGCGAATTATTTTCGAAAAAACAAAAAAAAAAAGAGAAAGAGAAAGAGAGAGAGAAAGAAAGAAAAAAGAACAAATATATTTTAATTAGTGAAATTGATCCAACACCATTGTTTGTATTATCGAATGTTATTACAAGACATATATATATGATATATATGATATATATGATATATATGATATAATATGATATATATATATATATACATACGTACGTAGGAATATATTACTATCGTAAGTCTAACAGGTTGCATTTCATCATAACGAACGTTACGAGCGTGCGCCACACAGAGAGACAAAAGACACATAGGCACATAGATACACACACACATATATATATATATATGTATGTATATATATATATATATATATATATATATATACACATAGAGCAGATATGTTGAATAATACTGATTATGACCTTATAATCCATTCAAGTTTTCTATCGGAGTTTATCTTTCAGTGACCTTTCTTTGTGCATATTATGTTGGAACCGAAGAGGTACGTATAAGCGTATCCAATGATTTTAAAAGGGCACTTAATATTAAGAGTTATATAAGATTAACGCACACGTAAATGTTATGTTTATAAAGGAGAATTTTTCATTGACAAATAATCCCTATAAATCAATCATTTACGCAAAATATAAGAGAAAAATATAAAAGATGAAGAACGAAAGACAATGAACAATAAATAATACAGAAATAGGAGAGATAAGTGAACAAAGCTAAAAATAAGACCTAACAATGATATTTTCAGAAAAACATATCCTTTCTGTTCGTCCTAGGGAATTCTTACTCTGGCATGTTTTTCCAGAAGGAGTTTATATCCTCGTCGATAGAGAATATCGACGGAAGGACACGGCTAGCAACACGTGCAACCTTGTACTTTCATGGCATTATCACGTATACATATGTATGTATATACTGGCAATACTTGTATTACGTGCTCGCGCGTCCGAGACGTGCGCAATTGCTTCTGCGTCTAGCTATGGTTGAAAAAACTCGATATGGTAAAAAGAAAAAAAAAACCCGAAAGTAAAAATAAAAAAGAAAGTAATACGAAAAGGTATCAGAGAGAGAGAGAGAGAGAGAGAGAAAGAGATAGAGGAAGAGGGGAGGGGAGGAGAGGGGGAGAGAGATATTAAAAGAAAAATAAATATGACAAAAAGAAAGTCTCGACTGTATATATTATTTAGTAAAAAAAAAAAAAAAAAAAAAAAAAAAAAAAAAAAAAAAAAAAAAAAAAAAAAAAAAAAAAAAAAAAAAAAAAAAAAAAAGAAGAAAAAGAAAAAGAAGAAGAGAAGAAGAAGAAGAAGACAGGATAGAAATGAAGGATAAAACTAAGAAAAGATGGAAACATACCTTATTTGTTCTTCTCTTCAAATATATATCATCCGTTCTTTCACCCTATGCTTTTGTTCCTTCTCGTTCTATCTTTTTCTATGCCCACCCCAACCCCTAAATACGATTCACCCTTTTGTAATAGGTTCTATTACTAATTCTATAAGTTCATTCTTTCGACGTGAACACAAACGTTTGAAATTTATGCCGGTACAAACACACAATTTGACAACACTCTTTCTATCCCCCTTTTGACCTGCCTTACGGACGGAAGGGGCAAAACTGATCTGTCCACGCCTGCGAATCGCTCCATGCTTTTATAGTGCATCGGTTTACCGCCAGATGGAGAACATCTCTAAGGGTCTATTCTGTTAGGGTTGCACTTTCGATTACTTCTTGCCAATGATTATTTTTTTCTTTTCGATTATCTCTCTCTTTCTTCCATATTTTTTCATTTTTTTCGTTTCTTTTTTTTCCTTTTTCTTTTTCTTTTTAATTCACTCTCCAAGAAGGATATGACTTATTCGATGATAGAATCTCTGATATTTTTCAATATAGTTGTAACAAAAAATCGATCTCATATTAGATTCACGTTTTTCTCAACGTGATTACAATGTGATAAATAAATTTATAAATATATACATACATATACATTACAAATATATATATATATATAAATAATAAAATAGGAAATAGGAGAGATAAGTGAACAAAGTTAACAATAAGACCAAATAATGATATTTTCAGAAAAACATATATATATATATATATATGCATTTATATATATATATATTTGCACTTATATATATATATATATATATATATATATATATATATATATATAAGTGCAAATATTATAATAATTCAGATCGAAGAGAAAGACGTAAAGCGAGAAAAAAGGATGCAAAAAACGTGAATTTTTTTCGATATTAGAAGCATGACGTAAGATTAAGATTGCACACTTCGTTATACCGTAAAGAAGACGGAAGAACTTTCTTCGCTTGCTTTCATTTAAATGCACATGCATGCGCTCACAGGCTCAGACACACTCATACA